TGCCGTTCGGCAGCATTCGGCTATTCACTCACTGCCGTTGGGCCCCTATGAGAATAGGGGCGAACAGCAGCAAGTGCACTTCCGGAGGTTTGTGTCAGCCATTCCAGATGTTGGATCTGCTAAGTCAAACGTGTTCTTCACTTCAGCTCAGCCTTTAGCAGCTTAGTGAATAAACCCCTTTGACTTTAATATCACTTTAAAAATACATTTAGGGATGTTAAGAAAAATGGTGTGTTTTTAGATGCTGCAATTCTTATGCTTCTAAACCAAAGTCCTGTAGCCATTGTGCTTGTTGTATGTCAAAATTGTTTTGCCCACAAGACATAAATCACTCTGCCAGAAGAGATTAATGTATAATAAGAGTAACTACAATCTCTGCACACTCAAATATGAAGGTCTTTAATATTAACTGTCTGTGTCATTCATGGCTATGAAACAAGGTTTAGGAAACGATAGTGGTTTCACATCAGTATTTCAGACACTTTAATAAAACATGGTTCTGTGTATATAAATAAGTATGTACAATTACAGTGTATATAGACAAAATGCTAGATGTTTTATTCCTGTGTATGTTATGATAGTATTTTGTAAGTGGCATTCATGCAGGCCTTGCTTATGTAGGTTAGGAAAAAGTCAACAATAAAAGTTAGAAAATAAGTGATATCTCACATATGTGTTATTCTAGTGAACCATGCTTCCTGAGCCAGAGGCATTCTACTCTAAAATTAGAAGCAAACTAACACCGCATAAACAGTGCTATATTTCCAGAGGTGAGAAAAGATTACATGACACAAAAGGCAGATTGATGTCAGTTTTTCTACCATTGGCATATTATAAAATCCAGAATATCCAATTGTGTGGAAAGCACAATTCTCTTTACTTATTTATTCAGTGCATGATTGGGTATTTAACCACTTGAAGTCAGGGGTGTTAAATCCCCTTCCCATCCAGGCCATTTTTCAGTATTCAGCGCTGTGGTACTTTGACTGACATTTATTCCGTCATGCACTGAAATGAATTTTATACCATATTTTGGGGACATATAGAGCTTTCTTTTGGTGGTATTTAATCACCACTGGGGGTTTTATTTTTTACTATATTAAGGAAACATTACAGAAAATAAAAAAAAATGGTTTCCCTTATATTAAATTATAAAACATTTATTATTACCCATTTTTTTGGTAAAATATAAGAGTCTAAGAGTCAGGGTCACGTCGGCAAAAGATACATCAAACATGTCAAGCCTTAAAATTGTGCGCACACACGAAACCTCAAAAAATTACAATACCCAAAATTGGCCATAGGCGACGCTTTAAAAGCTTTTACCGCTCATCAGTTTAGTGTTATCAGTGATTGATGGCCCTAAAATGATTGCTCTCATTCCAACGTTTGCGACGATATATAATATGTGTAGCGCAATTGTCGTTTTTCCACGCTCACGCATATTTACGTTTATATGGGGGCGCGCGCGAGCAGGAAAAAAATGCTGTCACCCGCCAATGCAAATTGTCCGTCCGTTTTTTCTTAACGGGCGGACGGCAGGAGGTTAAAGTGAACAATAATTTCCTTTTCACATGATTGGATTGGAGTAAGTGAATATTTAGACAATTTGTTGTGTCAAGATTCTAAACTCCTTCAGTAAATCAGCCCAACTGTCTTTTGTGAGGTATTTTCCACACTGACTTTAGGTTTTATAACAGCAGTGTGTACATGAAGCTTTTACAGAACAATTGCAAAGCTTTTAGCTACCTTTCTTAAAGTCTTTAGAGCATCCTTCTGCTCCGGTGTTGGAATGTCAAATCGATTATATTGCAAAAATGAAAGTCTAAATAACTGAGGTCCTACTGCCCATGCCTCCATTGATTATTAGAATGGCCAACCTAAAGTCTCTTCAGGAACCAGCATTTCAGGAAGTGGCGATATAGGGACTCAAGGGACATAGGGACTCCTATGTCCCTTGTTGCACTTAGTGGTTCCTCGTGCCAACCCCTATGTCCCAACGCGATACATTAGGAGGTTTCTGAAGCAATTTTAGTTGGCAATTTCTCTTCCTCACAATGATACCCAGCAGTGCATTTGGCAGGATGGATGAGTATTTACTTTCTTCTTTGCAAGGACATTAGTTGTTCAGATGTTCATATTTACAGAGTCACTTTAAACATGCATTTTAAAGTGTAAATAGCTTAAACAATTATAAAAACTGCTATAAAAAAGTTTTGTTGACAGAAGATATGTGCAAAGTCTTTCTTTCCATGTAAGTTGTTGGGAATGCAGCAAAGCGTGATTTACCGTAACTCCTGACCGCATGCGCACAGAGGATGCCAGACCCAGAAGAAGACCAATAAGATGTCAGTGACAGTAACAAAATGACAAGGGAGATCACAGCTGTCACATCATTGGAGGAGGGCACTCTGATAGGCAAGTTTGCCATAATGTGAAAGTATGATATGCATACTGGCACATTATTGCAATAGCCCACCCACTACAAAAGACTTAAGTTATGCGTTAACTGGAGTGCTGGTATTTTGAACAGCCTGCTAGCAGGCTTTCAGCAAGCTTTATTGTCAAGGAAGGTTAAGGAGGTTATTGCAAAGGAAATCTCACCACTCCAATTCTTTAGCCACCATCAGGACTCCCAGGTGTGGGTCTAATAGGTGCGTCTCCACCTTGGAATGTAGTAGTATACGAACAGACCGCACTATCCAGAGAATTCCAATACTTCAGAGTTTATTGAAATTCACAGCAAATCCAGTGTAACAGTGAATAAAAATGTATAAAGCAACAAATGCCAGCACAGCACACCCCCAACCAGCTACAACCTCTCACATGTTTCACCTGTAGGCTTATTCATAGAGGTCTAGTACTTCTCTAGTTTCTCATCCTCTGGAACTCTTACCCGAACCTGTCTGTCTATCGCCCACCTTAACTGCCTTTAGGCGTTCCCTAAAGACTCATCTCTTCAGGGAAGCCTATCAAACCTCAACCTAACCACTGAACCATCACGTTCTCAAACAATTCATCCCCACACAGCTACCTCCTCATGTATCACTTCCCCCTCCTCTTTTAGATTGTAAGCCCCCAGGGGCAGGGTCCTCCTTACCATCTTGTCTTGAATTGTATTGTGATTGTAATGTCTTCCTTCTATCGTAAAGTGCTGCACAACTGTTGGTTTTATATTACATATAAATACTATGTAATAATAATAATATTCACCGTTACACTGGATTTGCTGTGAATTTCAATAAAGTCTGAAGTATTGGAATTCTCTGGATAGTGCAGTCTGTTTGTATACTACTACATGTTTTATTGTTAGTTTAAGCTTGATAAAAACCTTGTAGGTAGTTATTTTAAAGTGACTGACAGCATTTGTTTTACGATATGTGTTTAATATCTCCAAACTGAAGCTCAGGGTTACCTTTAGTGGCTTAAAGCTTTCTGAAAATTGTACAAATGTTTTAATAAGGTTTGCTGTACACAGTGTTCTTTTATTGCTGTAATATCACCTGAAACCCATTTTTCCATAGTCCTAAAGATCTATTATCTTGTGACTATCATTAAAATATCAAACATGTTCAAATGTGCAATGCCTAAATTGTACACAGATAGATAGATAGATAGATAGATAGATAGATAGATAGACAATGCTGCTTTTAGTCACAGACAGACGGTAAGTTCCTGCTTAAAGTGTAGTTCCAATTTTGCAGAAAAATTGTGATAGCATCTACTTTATATTTGTTATGTGTTCCCTTTTACATTGCATAACTTAAAAAAATATAAAGCATTTCTTACATCTCTAAGTGCTTGATATTTGCTTAAAAATCATACCTAACCTCCCCCTAGCCTCCTACCATGTTAAGGAGGGGGTTGTGCAAACAATTTGAACACTGTCTGCCGCCAGCCACTGTCAGAATACCTGAAAAGCCAATTAGCTGCAAACACCTTTAGGCCAAAGATTTTCCAGCTGGCTCCTTCGATATTTTGATTAAGGGATGCCGGGTGGAAGGGTTCTGACAAGCACCCACTGTGCGAATTTCGTCCAGTTCATCAAGGATCAGTCCATATTGGCCTAGTGTATGGATCACGTTACACTATAGTTTTACTCTAAAACTGGTCAGAGTAGCTTGGAATCTGCACAAAGGCATTTACCAAAGAAACACCTAAAAAGTAAGAAAAATATTATCAAAAATTATATTTTGGTATGGTGTGTGAATGGGAACACATAAACATATAGGTTTTCTCAAATTTGACTAAAAAGTGGAAATACTGTTTAAGGGAACTATACGCAACATTATAAGGAACCACAAGTGTCTAGAAGCTACAGTTTTGGGGCTTACTGGTCTATATGTAAAAAAAATTAAAACATCTAATACATAAAAGGTGTGTGTGTATATATATATATATATATACACATAGTGAGGATGTGCTTCAAATGGTAGTGCATTCAGGATGCTTCCACTCTTAAACATTTTTTTTTGTTAAGGGCTTCCTGCCCACGTTTATTTAAACATCCACATACGTTTTCCCTCGCAGGGGTTTCCAAACACAAAGTACAGTTTTCTTAAATAAAAAAATAAATTTTCCTGTCTCAACGACTTCAGGTAGGTCCCTTAACAAAAACGTCTGGCCACAAAGGCTGTATTCAAAACGCTAGCCACACAGGCTTGTCCCTTGTCCTCTTGCCACACAGGAAGACTGCTACACAGGCTGTTTGCCTCACAGGCTGCTCTTTTGCCACACAGGCGGATTGCCACACAGGCTGCTCTGCTCCCCAGTTCCCCAGAAACACAGTCTGGTTCTAGGGTGGGGCCTCTTTCCTAGGAGGCTGAATGTTCTTGTAGAGGCCCTAACAAGCCAGCTAGATTCAGCTGGGCTTGTTACCTCCATTATAATGAAGTATGTATGTACGTGTTACTAATTCAGGTTGTTGCTTATCCAGTGTTTGTACTTAATCTCTGTCTGAAAAGACCGAAATACTAATAATACGAATATATATCTTGCAGATTCCCCCAGGAACTGAACATGGGCAAGCTCAGTGCAGAGGTGATGTGGAACCTGTTTGCTCAGGATATGAAGTATGCATTAGAAGGTAAATATCGTACTCCAGTTGTCATCATACAATAATAGTTACTACAGACATATTTGGTGTGGAAACATACTGTCACATTATGTCCACTATTCCTGTTTAAGGTTAATAATGTATAACATAGTGTCAACATTGATTCTGTACATCACGTTGTTAAGAAGAAATACTGTATAACTAGATCTTGGCAACAGAATTTTCTGACCACCTGTATTTCTAAAACATATTAAAACAATTACGGTAGGTCAATCCCATGGTCAATAACAGAAATGGTGGAACTCGTTTTCTTTCTTTCAATTTTGAGACATTTCACATTATACAGATTTGAATGTTTGGAGCTCCTATACATTAAAGTAGGGGTTACTAATGCAGTAGAAATTATTTTTATGACTTTTGCTCTGTTTTTGATGCCTAAATCAGTTATTTAGCAAGACTCATGCTCAAATTCGGCATGCAGTGGGAAAACTTTTATAGATAAGTCTTCTACCTTACCCATGAGTCCATAGGGGTAGGACATTATGGCTAACAAGTATGATGATAATCCATCCTTATTACCCACCCGTAGCACCTCCATGAGAACACAACTGATACCAGAATGATATACTGCATCATACTAAAAGGTGCCCTTTATAGTTTTTCTTGTACAAATGGGTGTTACTTGCCTAACAAAAAAATCAGTAAAGATTATATCACACAAAAGTAGATCTGTCAGCAACCTGTTAAACTTGTTATTGTAATATCCAGCCGAAAAGATGGCACGACAAGGTGCCTGTTATAACCATCATTAGCTAGAAAACCATGCTCTATGCTCCCGTTTTTATTGTTACTAGGGGCTTACCTTTACCGATTTGGGGACCAAGCACAACTCATCTGTCAGTTTCTATCAAGTTAGAATATTTCAGTGTCAAAAAAGGTGCTCTCATTCAACAGGTTGATGAAGGTGGGCAAGCCTTTGCCTGATTTCAAAGATGTCAAGCCCTTAGTAACACAGTAAAACTATTTTCAGAGGGCTGTACAGAAGAATGTTTTCAGGCTAATAAAGTAGCATTCAGATGTGTCTCATGCACTCCTTAGAGCGCTTAGATCCAAATAGCTGTGGTGTTTGCAGTGATAGTCACGAATGGCACTGTGCACATCAAGCTTGTAGAAAGTGAAGATCGCCAGCACTCAAGTAATAGCGTTACATCCTTGTGCTCATTTATTGAAATAAAACATCACATACATCATATAGCCAATGTTTTGGGGCCACACAGGGTCCCTTCATCAGGACAGCATACTGACACATTGAGTCGCTATGGTGCCCAGTTACTCGAGTGCTGGAGGTCTTCACTTTCTGCAGGCTAATAAAGGTAATGGCGGACACTTTATGGCAGCCTTTGCCAAACAGGATTCAATGAAAACCTAGGGTTGTTCATGAGGCAAGTGGTTCCTCTAGATGTAAGTGGTCAACTCTACACTTACCACTAATGTAAGGGGACACCACAATTTCCACTGTCTGCGTTTCCTTTCTTTTATCAGTATTAATTTAGTTAAACCAAGAATTTGGTTGTATAGAGAAGGATTTGGTAAATAAAATTGTTAAAAGTGTGTGTTTTTTAGGTGTAACATTTTTTATTCTTAAAACTTCCCACAACTTACTGAGAGCTGTAGGAATTTAATTATTTTTAAAAGGTGTTCCCCCGCGACCAGAAATTCTTTCAAGGGTTCATCTGAGGTAAAAAGATTGAGAATGGCTGTCTTATAGTGTCTGCTGACAAAAATGTTGTCAGTAGTGCTTCCCTAAAGAATAAAAATTTTACATTAATTAATAATATAATAATAATTAAACCTTGAATTTCTATGAAGCATATAGAATATAACAACTAATAATGTTGTGGAGAGCACTTAACAAGGAATATTAACCTCTTGCGGAACACTGCATTGAATGTTTAATATAGCACTTTGATGCACTTATTTAAATGTGGACTATGTGACATTAGAAGAGGAATATTTGCACAGTGTGATTCACACTACGGGACTATAACAAGTTAAATGGTTTAAAATTTGTATATGAACTATATCTTAAGTACTTTTTTACACTGGATTTGGTGGTTTAGTATGAATTTTATATACATTTATGTATATCAGTAGAACTACAGAGGACAGACATGAATTTGATTATTTTATTTATTTATTTATTGATTGATTTATATATTTATTTATTTATTTGGTAATATGAACATAGATATTGTTTGAGTAAGCACTTAAGCACTTTATTAGTTGAGTAGTATTGTTGGGATTATAGCGTCGCACAGCTAATAATGAGTGAGCATATGACACTTATCACAGCACAGAAGTATACCATTCGATAACAAATATTATATCTATGCATATGGGAAAAATAGCCCAAGCATAATTTAAACATAACAAATAGACTTATATCTAGGTTTATAGCCCAACAATGGATTCCAGCATCTTCTAAAACAATCCAACAGGTTCCTATAAAGTGAGTCAGTTTACTTACTAACATAACCCCATATGGTGGGGTTCTAATCTGAGCAATTAGTCCAGGTCTTTGTAAATAAAAGATATTTTACCGGGGGCCAGAGGGGGGGAGTTTTACTGCTCTATTCCCTCCTGGTAGACTCTGAAAGTAAATTACCCTATATGTTAGCTTGGGAACAAGACCTGGAAAGGGTTATTCCTCTGGAGGTCTGGCATCAATGTTGTTCCCGTGTGCCATCAGGTCTACTTAATATTTCACTAATAGAAGCTAATTATAAGGTTCTATCTAGGTGGTATATGGTCCCTGCCAGACTAGCGAGAATATACCCAGAGGTTTCTCCTCATTGTTTTAGGGGATGTGCACACTCGGGCACGATATATCACATATGGTGGGAATGCCCCAAATTGAGACCTTTTTGGAACCGGCTTTATGCTCTAATATTTAGGGTTACTGGGGTGAGAGTCCCACGAGATCCCCAATATGTGTTGCTGAATTGCCCGATTCCAGGATTGTCTAAAGCTTTGGATAAACTAATTAGTTTCTTTCTGTTGGCAGCCAAAATAACCATAGCTAGGGCTTGGAAAACACCAACAATTCCATTCCACTTGGTCAAACAAAAAATGTCGTGGATTATGGTCCATGAGAAACTTCACAGCATCCTCCAAGATAATAAAAAAAGTTTTGAATTGACCTGGACCCCCTGGTTGTTATATACAGAGGTGCTGGAAACCGGGTAATTTTCATTGTTCAACTTTTCTGGAATTTTTCTCTGGGGACTATGTTTAAGGTTTAAGTAGATGTTGGGATATTTGGTCGGGGATGGAGCTACTCTTTTCGGACTCTTAAGCTGTTCTGCTTCCTTTAGTATCTATTTCTTTTTCCTCTTTTTGTCTGTTTTTTTTTTTTTTTATTTTTTTCTTTATGCTCACACATGTGAGCCGTTTAGTACATAGATGCTGGACAGAAAGTCTCCTATTTGATATAGATATGGAGGAGATCATAACAAATGTTTGCTTCAGACATAGGCGGATCCCTAGGTCAGATATTCCTCTCAGACTGTTCTAATTTTTGATTTTAGTGATGGGGGATAAATTGGCAAGAATAGGTGGATAGATATGTTCTGTTGTACAGAACTACTTTATATTGTGTGTATAGCCTCTAGTGATCCCCTCCTACTACTTGATTACGCTAATGTGGAAGAAACTGTAATGCAATTGTATGTTATACTGATTGTGCATCATGTGCTATTTTATTGTCTTATTGTAATTTGGAAAATTAATAAAATACTCAAGAGTTAAAAGATATTTTACATACCCAGTGGTTGGGTGAGCATGGGCCTAAACTTCCAAAAAGGCCACTCTTCGCCAAAGAACAGCAAGGTGTGCCTGTAGCTTAACCATGTAGAAGCCATCAATGTGTTGAGAGACAGAGGCTTCTCCCTTTATCCAGACAAGGGGAGAAATGGGAACATCTCACTACTGAAATGCTTTGAAGACTTCTACATGGCCATGCTTCTGGTGCATGTGCAATCCTGTCCATTGGGGCCTACCTTCCTGTTCTTTAGCCTTATTCTTTTAATAATAGTGTATCTTTTTATGAACTCTTAGGTTGACTGCTATTGACATCTTTTTGTTAATTTGTTTTAGCCATTAAAGCAAATTGCTTTTTAGTCTTCAGCAGCTGCCTACTTCTATGATCATTATTTGATCTTCTCTCTCCCTAACCTCCTTATATATGTATATTATACAGTACCTCATGATATCTGGTCTTACACAGGACTTTGAACGTAAAAATGGCTCACAGCATCACTTCTAGGCATGTTGCAGAATAATTCATAACACTTCACAAATGGAATAATATTTTAATTTCCTTTGTGTTTTTGACATATATTTTTGAGATTTCATTCTAGCTTCAAACTGTCAGCTTAACAGCTATATACATTTTGTAAATCAATAACTTATTACCATCGATGACTTTGTCTGAATTAAATGCCGGAGAGGTTCAGAGAAAAAGAAATGTAAACAAAATATGCTCTTACAAGTCCTGGACACAATGCATTACACTAAAGGCTGTAATTTTCCAGACATACATGTATTTATCATGTGCACTGACCTGCTTCATAGCCATTAGCTCACATTTGTGAAACTAGAGAAAAACTGACCATCATCCATTTGACTTCCTTTAAGAAGCCAATCTGAATTACAAGCATTCTAATTGCCTAACGTTAACAAGCAAGATTGATTGTCTGCCTGATATAGTAAGATCTATTGGGTATAGCAATCATATGGTATCCTTCATGCTTGTCACTGTTGTGGTAGACTTCATGCTTTCACATGATTGGATAGGACCCATAACGACACAAGGTTATTGCACACTAACCTATACTGTAGCTGCTGAGATCATATACATAGCTAAGGCAGTAATTCCCAGATGCTGTTAACAATTTGCTGCACCGCCTTATATTTTTATTGCCTGTTCATATTACAAGACTCAATATGTTTATTGGATGGTATAAAAATAC